GTAAATGGTCAGATATGTATTATGCTTTGGACGAATGTGCATCAGTGATTCTTTGCGGTGATTGCAGCTGAAGCTGATGTCGCAGCAGCTTCTGCACAGACACCCGGAAGTCTCCTGTGGACTCTTCACCTTCGATTGGCCGTTCTTCGCCTCCACCGTGGGCGCCATGGCGATGTACCTCTCCATCATGATTCAATTCGATGCAACCGAAGGCAGTGCCTGAGACACTCTGGTCGGGAGTGTGCTCAGCAGAGAGGACACAATATTAAGCTGCATTACTTTACATTATTGCCACCGTAATTGCCCCGGAATTCCTTGTGCGAGTGAACAATAATTTTTGGTGTAATTGCAAAAGTTTCCCCATTTATTTAATGCTTCCCTGCAAGACGGAAGCGTCACCCAGGTTGAGACACACATAAATTATAATTACAACTGGAGCACCCTTTTTAATTGGTGTGTGTTTGTGTGTGTGTGTGTGTGTGTGTGTGTGTTGTGGAGGAGGAAGAAATGTTGTACTTTCTCTCCAGTCTCCGAAAACACACTCATTTCCATTGATTCAATTTCCACTCTTGGCCCAAACTTCTGCCGCAAATTGACTTCGCTCAGTCGACACTCAACCATGGCCACTGGAGGGGTGTCTTTCAATTTGGCCCCAATGGTCAGGCTCGTACATCGGTCGTATCAATTAATTGGATTATGCCCGTACAAATTGCCAACGGACATCAATTCCGACCGGTTCGCCGTGTCGAGGCTCACAGCAATTTATTCAGCCGTGCTGGCCTTCGCCTCGGCGCTCTGCCTCCCCTTCCACTTCCTGTGGAGCGACGCCGGGGACGTCTCCAGGTCGAATCTGCCGGACTTCACCATGAGATTCATGCTGATTGGCGGCGTGTCATTTCACCTGCTCAACATCACCTACACGCTGATGAGTCGTCACAGAACGTGGCAATTCTTGCGAGACATCAACAATGTGGACAGAAAGGTAGGGGATTAACACTTGATAGATTCACAGGGAAGAATCCTCTCAGGATTCAAACTCCAGCGGCAATCTCTCAGCTGATAGATGGCTCTGTTCACATTGTAAGCATTTTATGTAATTTTCTATTTTTGGGGCTCTTTAGTTATTTAGATGCAGGAAGATCTTGCGAGTCTTAAAAAGCTCCCTTTCTTCCTGTCCACTTAATATTCCTCTGCGTGTTGCAGCTTCAATCACTGGGCGTTCAATTTAACTACGCTCGCCAATATTGGTTCGTGCAACTGTTCACGATGTTCTGGATATCCTTCGTGGTGGGAATGTTTGCCATCCACTGCTATAACAATTTGCATGCTTTCACCAGCGTGAACACGTTTTTCACCAGAATCATCTCCGACATTCTGGCTGTGTACAATTTTGGGGCCATCATGAGTCAATTCTTCTTCTGCCTCATGCTGATTTACTCCCGATTCGTGTGTCTTAACGCCGCCTTCAGGCGCTCACTTCTGCACAATGACGCACCCAAGAATGTCGATTATGTTGTCACGCAATTTCGCGTCATTCACGACATCCTCACGGACGCTGTAAGCAAAATCAACTCACTCCTGTCGCTCATGGTGAGACTCAGAGTCGATTTGTGCTTGTCCAGGGTGATTGAGGAACTCTTGCAGGTCACTTCGAATGTCTCAGTCTCGCTCTTCTTCGCTGTCTTGACACTGAATGCGCTGTACAAAAAGTTCATGCTTGGCATTGATCCGGACTTGCAGTACAGCTCTTACTACTACTGGGTGGCCTATTTCACCAGCATGTCGCTCATCAACATCATCCTGGCCAGCGTCCTCTTGACCGAAGGCGCCTCCACTGCTGTCCTTGTCAACAAGGCCATGAACAGAAGTGTCCTGGTGAGCAACACTCGTCATTTACGACTCTTCAGCCAGCAGCTGAGAATCAGAGCGCCCATCGTCACTTGTTGGCTCTACAACTACGATTGGGAGCTCATTTACACGGTAATTTGCTCGGCCTAGTGCTCTAGCCAAGGGAAAATAATATAGATAAAATGCGTACAGCATTCTTCGCAAAAACTCTTTATCGCAGATTAGCGGAAGAAATTGAGTTTTAAAATGGTTTTCCAAAACAAACTAATATATTTTGCTAAAGATCTTGTTTTTTATCATTTTCATGAGTCTTAAAACCATTTTTTTCAGAAAATCTTGTTTTTCTTGACAAAAAGCTTCTATTTATTGCTCAGAAAACTCTTCAACTGACCTTTAATACAGTTGCGAATACTACTCAATACATCCGCTGAGCTTTACACTATTTCTAGCCATAATATTTCCCCCTTGGCGTTTTAACTTATAACTCTCTAAATAAAGTAATTGAATTTCAACCGGCAGATGTGCGGCACAGTGTCCATGTACACTCTCATCTTCATCCAATTCGACATCCTGGCGGCCCAGAATCAGCAGACCAACTCGACCAGGGCAGCTCAGTGAGGAGCTTTCGGGGCTTTCGCAAAGAGACTCTTTAGTTTTGAAAGTTTGTTGGATTTCCTTCCGCCATGAGAAGCTGCTTCAATTGAATTTCATGTGTTTCATCTTATATCGTTGTGTGTTTTCTTGGCAAGCAATTGAGACCTTCTCCACGAGCGGCATTCACCCGCCCAAAAAGCACCCTGTGAAATTGATGAAAAGCTCTGGCATGAAGAATGTGCGCTGGTTTCGCCTTCACCTTGCGCCAGAAGCGAGGATTGAATGAAAATCCCGCCCTCACATATGCATTCAATAATGCAAAATCCATTAAAAAGTTTCCTCGCTGGACGCACGGATTGAGATGTTTATGGGTTGATGTCCAAAAGGGAAAAGAAGTTTTGAAAGTTTACAATAAATCCAGTGCATCACTTCAGCAACGCTGGGGTGAACTTCACTGAATAGATACGTGTTTCACTTTTTCACCCCCACCGACGAGACTCTCTGCTTTCGGCAAACTTCCTTTCAACCGGAAGGTTGTTTTTGTCATCTGAAAATTGCATTGGGGAATTTTCTTGGAATTTCCACACCCAATTCCGCACTTTGTGATCTCTTTATTTACACCGCACTCAACTCCATTCCATCAATGTTGGGATGTTCTCTGATGTGATTTTAAGGAAATTTTGCCAAGTGAAATCAAATATGTTTAATTTTCAACCCACAAATTCAAATGTTATACTTTGAGAAAAGGATGAATTGCGCTGCTCAGATGAAATGTAAATTATATTCTTGTGTACAGAATTTCCGGCAACAGCGGATGCAAATTCACCCCATCTAAACTCATCTCGAATCATCGCGGGAGGAATTAATGTGACGTGTCTGAAAATACTCAGTCGCTAATTTAATATTTTATTAAATCGCATAAATCGCTAAATATTCAATTACACTCCGTTCGGCGATGAGGTGAAGTTTAATTGAATTTTAGCAATCGTAATTATTTAATTTCATTAATTAAATTCACCGGAACGCTTTGTGCTCTTGACCCGAAGCGAATTTAATTTTTTTTCGCTGCTTGTTTTGGATGTTAGCAAAAGCGCGAGTGTTTTTATGTAACATGGTAAGTATGATAATTGCAAATCTAGACAAATAATACAAAATATTCACATGTGCATCGTAAATGTTTGATTAAATTTTTTAGTGAAAAGGGAAAGGTTTTTGTTGAGCTTGTTTATTTGTTTGTTTTCACTGTCAATCGATGAGATTCTTCCGGTGCTCAAGAGCACTTAAATATGGGATGAAATTTCATCTCTTTACGTAAGAGACGCAATTAGTGGAAATGTGTTCAACTTACCATCACCGATCAATATATCTTGAGCAAACAATCTTGCCATTTCAATCACCTGAAGCTCATGGAATGCTCCGCCTTTCACTCGCCCACGAAACCCTTTGGCACCGCGAAATGACGAAGAGTTGCACAAGAGGCGAACAAGTGCGGTATTTCCGGTGGAAATTCGACAATCGGAAGCGCACTTTGCGAAGGAAAAATTCACAAAACCTCTTCGTGCGTCACACTGATTGACAACGATTCGCCGAATGTATACAAAATTGCACACACGTTGAAATATTGTGACTTTTTTCTGATGCCTCCCACTGGAGGCGCACCAGTGAGGACGTATAGAGTTTGTGTGAATCCTGCCAGGCAGGATTTCATTTTTATTTAATTTTCTCGCGGGCAAAATTGTGGATAATGGAATTCCGAATCAGATCATGTCTCACTGCCAATACACAATTCACTGCGAATTCTGTCACGTACCATAAATTCGATGCTCGCGCGCACTGGGGAATGTTTGCCGGGATGAGCTGCAAATGGAGATACACGCGGTGGAGTTGTTGCGGAGGGGCATCAAAATAAATAAATATATTTTCATTTGATTGTCAATTTAATTTATTGCACTCAATACAGCGCCAAATTGGAATTTATGCCATTGTGATTGTTCACTTGTGAATATTTTTATGCGCACATTTCTGCCTCTTTTTTCTGCGCGAAGCTTTTTTTCCGTTACCTATCCATCGAAGGGGTGAATCATTGCTTATTTCATAGGGATTCTTCTCGTAACAATTGGCAATTTTGTAGCGCGATTTCTGGTGGAATTTTGCAAAAACAGAAGCTTTAGCATGGCTTTTGTTAAAATTGAAGCATCGATTTTCCGAAAGCTTCTCACTTGCAAACCCCTCAAAGTGTAAAAGAGCACTGCTATTGGGGATATTTTTAATCCACGTCTAAACCATGGATTTGGTGGGGAAAAAAACTCTTTGTGGTGAAAAATATCCTTAACATATTGAATAATTTAGTGACGGCCAATCAAATGTTTCCCGCTCTCATAGGTCAATTTGAAAGCTCAGTGGCAAGCACAGGTGAATTTCCTTAAAAATTCTCACTGGAAAATCTCCAGAATAACTCGAACTTTCTCAACATTCAACATTAATGAGCCTAATGAGGTTCGCCTCTCATCACCGCATTAAATACATCAGCAAGGGAACTTGCTGCCATCAGTGTCGTCATGGCTGGGAAAGCATTCACTGTGGCCGAGAGCAGGAAGTACACTGTGTCCCTCCTGCGAATGGTGGGCTTCGACGTGTTCGTGCAGAAAGTGCCGCGCACCTTCATCTACTACTTCTGCTACTGGGTCAACACCAGCTACCACATCTTCTGCCTCTACACGTTCATCAAGCACCGCCGCGACATCATGATCGTCCTGCAGTGCCTTTCGGTTTGGGGAGCGGCCGGACAGTGCAGTGTCAAGACCATCTTGGCGCTGATCTACAGGAAAACCATGCGGCAAGCTTTCACCTTCCTCGCGGAGAAGCAGGAGAAGAGCGAAGAAGATCCCGAAATCCATGCCGGATATCTCAAGTGGTCGCGACGGCTGAACATGATTCAGAAGACGATCTTCTATGTCCTGAACAACAACATTGTGCTGCTGAGCCTGTACGTGTTGCTGTCGATTGTGTTCTTCGGCGACAGGAAGCATCTGCTGATCTGCAATATCCCAGGCCTGCCCTTCGACACTCACGCTCCCTTTCCCAGCTACGAGATTCACATCTTCTACCAGTTCATCGCGCTATGCGCTGGCGTTTATGAACTGATAGTCCTCGACGGACTCTTCGCCTTCTTCGTGTGCAATGGCGCTGCCGTGGCCGAAACGCTGCTGGTCATGACTAAGAGAATGTCCGCAGAAATCGACCAGAACAAATTGACAGACGACGCCACGACGGAGAGGATAAAATATCTGGTGTTCCTCCATCGCGAATACATGGATTATGTCTCGCGATTGGACGTCATGTACAGTTCAATGCTGTTGATTCAATTCGGCAGCTTCGCCCTCAGCGGCTCCGTTGCTCTTTATGTGGGCGGATCGGTGAGTTTAGGAGAATTTGAGGAAGCCAAGAGGGAGATATTGACCCCAGAAGGTGTACAAATTCGCAATTTTGTTTAACAAAATCAGAAAACCAAGAAATCTAAGCAGAAAAGACATTTTGGAGACACTTGAATGTGCATAAATTCTTGAAACTTCGTCATAGGATTTGTGGAAGTGACTTTAGGAATAATATTTCATCCTTGGAGGAATCAATAAGCAATTTGATCAATCATTTCCCAATTTTAGAGTGACTGGTTCGCTATTTACGGTGTTGTGCTGACCTCGTTCACCCAACTGTTCTTCTACAATCTTCTCGGCACGATTCTGCAGACGAAGGTGAGATGAGGCGACATATTTGTGAATTTTTCAGGACATTTTCTCCCTCTCTCTCTCCCTCCTCAGAACCAACAGATAAGACAGACAATCTTCGAGACGAGCTGGCTGAAGATGTGCGAGAAGAACAAGCGCTACATTCTCCTGATGCTGCAGCGCTCGCAGACAATGAAGACCATCACGGTGGGTCACTTGGCGCCCCTGAATCTCGAGACTGGCATGTCCATCTACAAGGCGCTCTACTCGTATTTCCTCCTTCTCAAGGATGTGTTCAAGTGAAGCATGTGAAGAATTCAAACAATTTCACCACATGGCAGTGAATTCATACAAGATATCAAGTCAATAAATGATATTTTTCAAGTGTATTTCACCCACAAAATTGAGTGGCTTATCTCATGACCCAAATCTCATTCTCTCTCTCTCTCTCTCTCTCTCTCTCAATATTGTCTAAGTGATCCGATGGCAAATAATTGCCATGGCGGCCTACATTTCCTTATCAGTCAATAAGTGCTTTCCGAAACCATCATCAATTCCCTTCGAAATTAGCGTTAATTATTCAGAACTTCACAGAGAACTCACATCAGCACGCACCCTGACAACTCGGGCTCTTGCGGGGGTGTCAGTCAATTATTCACTCATGTGAGAATTATTGAAAACTCACCTTGAAGCATCTGGTAAACATCTTCCCACGCTCACTAATCTACAAATACGCAGAGATGGAATCCGCAGCTTTCAGTAGCGCGTCAGTGATGGCCTCGAGAGCTTTTTCCGTGGGCGACGACCGAGATTACCTGATGAAGAGATGTACTTTCGTGGGGTTGGATGTCCTGATTAGGGATGGGCGGAAGAACATCAAGTACTACCTATGTTTCTGGGTGCCAACATTTTACATGCTCTGTGGCTTGTACACTGTTTACATCTTGCGAGAGGACACAGTGAAGATTCTGCAGTGTCTCTCGATTTGGGGTGCAGCAGGACAGGTAAAAAGTCCTTTCGTTTGATTGCAAAAATTCCTTACAAAAATTACTAATTGACACTGAAATATCGCACTGAAAAATGCACAAACTGAGCTTTAAATATGTGGATTTGACTTCTTTCAAATAATATTATAATTTTTGAAATTAATTTTTGATCATTTTACGGTTTTAGGTCAACGTTAAGGTTATTGTGGCGTATGTCCATCGCAACTTGTTAAAAGACACTTACGAATTTGTTCTGAAGAAGCATCAGTTTATCGAAGATGATCCTGAATTGAAAGTTCCCTTCTTGAAATGGGCCAAAAGACACTACATTATCCAGCGCATACTTTTCTGCATGTTCAACACAAACATGTTTTTGATGAGTTCATATCCTATTCTCAACTTTGCTCTCTATCACACGAGAAAGTACGTTGTGCTCTGCAATATTCCAGGTATTTTCTGCAGCATGCACATGTGATGGATGGATTGAGACCTTCTTATTCGGGTTTCAGGCTTAAATCCAGATCCAGAAGCTGGATTTCCAGACTATGAGATTCAGACTGGGATGCAGTTGCTGTGCCTCTTTGTGGGCATCAACGAGCTGGTGGCTCTGGATGGCCTCTTTGTCTACTTCATCTTCAACGGCGCCTCGTTGGGCGAATGCTTGATCATCCACTTGCGGAGGATGTCGTCTCAGCTGCACCAGGAGTCACTGAGCGACGCCGAGACCACAAAGTGCATCAGGCACTTGAGTCAACTCCATCGAGAGTACACGGATTACGTGAATCGACTCGACAGAGTGTACAATCTCATGTTTCTAATGTCGTTTGGAAGTTTCGCTCTCAGTGGCTCCGTTGGCCTCTATGCAGCCCGAATTGTAAGTTTGTGCAATCTATTATTGAGATCTCCTGAGTGTGCTGCGCCACCCCCGAAAACTTCCCCATTTGATGATGTGAATTTCACCCCCCAGAGTGATTGGTACGCCGTGTATTGGATTGTATTCAGCACGATTTTTCAATTATTCCTCTTCTGCTCCCTCGGCTCTGTCATCGAGAATAAGGTCAATGGTCCTCCAGCAGTCATACCTTTTCATCTCATCTCTAATCGAATTTCCTTTTTTCCCGCTGCGGCTTTGCAGAATATCGACATCTCTGAGGAATTGTACCAGGTCAATTGGCAGTCGATGAGCGTGAAGAACCGCCGAATGATGCTCTTCATGATTCAGCGGGCCAGAACTGTCGATACCATCTCTGTGGGTCACTTGGCACCACTCAATCTCGAGACGGGCATGTCAACCTACAAGATTCTCTACTCCTACTTCCTCCTTCTCAAAGACGCCGTGGCGGCTTAGCACCAAAGGGGGAGATATTGCGTTCATGAATGATTTTATTCATATTTTCTCTTTTTTTGAGGGTGATTTTCCCTAATAAATTTCATGTGTATGAAATAAAGTACATAGTTTGATCGAGGCTAGAATGTTTTGTATATATTCCGCAATGTGAATAATAGAGATTGCCAATTGTGTGGAGAATTCCCCAAACAATCCCTCCACAGAACGCATTTCAAGATACCCCACTCATCGTTGTAAATTGTGAGCTCCCAGAGAAACATAGAAATTCAAATAAGTGGAGACATTGCTGGAGAGCGTCTCACCCCCAATCGAGTTAATTAATTACTGAGCTGTTGAAAACTATTTGTTGTGGGAGATTTGCCCATGCTCTGTTTGTCCGCTGTGACCCGAAGTTGGAGGACAAAAACATGTGAATAATTTGTCTTGAGAAATCATTTGACTTCATCACTTCGCCCCGAGGGAAGGTTGAAGGGTCAATTTTTAATGGACGCCGTCTGTCCATAAGAGCTCGTCCGGGGCTGTCCGGCGCCCCAGTCCAGTGATGGAGGTGTTCAGGAGCGTGCTCACCGTGGCCGACAGTCGCAGATCCCTGGTGGCGCTATGCCGGATCATCGACCTGGATCCGCTCATCACAGACAGGAAGCGCACCATCCTCTTCTGGGCGTGCTTTATCTACCCGTTCTTCTTCCACGCCTTCAGCCTCTACACCCTCTACTACTACCGCAACGACATGTTGCCCTTCCTCCAGTGCGTCTCCATGTGGGGAGCAGCTGGTCAGGTTTGGAGGCCATTTTTCCCATTTGGCACGTGATTAGCATCCAAGGAGCGCCGCTCAGCATGTTTTATGGGTGGAAATTAATATTTTACACTGATTTTCCGCACGTGATTCTTTCCCCATGTAAAGAAATCCATGCTGAAGGATTGGAGGAAAATGCTCTGAAGATTCATAGAATCTTGCAGCTCTTCCGTCATTAGACGAAATGGATTGATTTTGGTGTCTTTATAATTCTATCTCTTCATCTTATTTTAGTTCTATATAAAAATCTTTATCGCGAATTAGTGAATTACACAATTCTATGTGAAACAAGCAATCCTTTCCTGCAGGGCAAAATCCTTGCATTATTCGTAATGTTCGTAACTGATTCATTCCTGTAAGAGCCCATTGATTTAGTGATTGACAATGAGTCTATTGAGCTCTGGAAAGCTCTCCTCTCGAACAAATGAATTGGATACGAATCCACTGATGGTTTTCCGTGCACTTCATTCTTCCGCAATTGTGCAGCAAGCAATCTCCGCCACCATTCAAGTCGCATTTGTACTGATGGAAATCCCCTCAAACAGTGCAGCTTCAAAACCATCAATGCCTACATTCACCGGAAGCGCATCAGGGAGATGTTCGACCAGGTCACGTGCAAACAGTCGGCCAGCGAGCAGGATGAGCGCGTGAATGCGCACTACCTCAAGTGGGCACGGCGCCTCAGTGTCATTCTGAAAATGCTAACGTCCACGCTCCTGTCCAACTTCGTGTTCTTCAACCTGTACCTGCTGCGCGGCATCGTGGTGAATGACCGGAAGTTCATCTTCGTGCTCAACATCCCGGGCCTGAATGCCGATCCCAATGCCGGTTTTCCGGACTACGAGCTGCAATTGACCTTCCAGCTCGTGGCGCTGTGGATTGGGGTGTGGGAGGTGGTGGCTCTGGATGGGCTCTTTGCCTACTTTGCTTTGAATGGCGCCTCGCAGGCGGACTCCCTCATTGTCACCATCAACAGGATGTCCCAGGCCGTGGAGGAGGAGCGCGCTGCCGGCGACGAGACGAGCAGGGAGATAAAGCGCATCATCCAGCAGCACGGACAGTACTTGGACTACATCAATCGCCTGGACGAGATGTTCAACGGCATGTTCCTCATGCAATTCGGCAGCTTCGCCTTCAGTGGCTCTGTTGCTCTCTACGTGGCCCGAATTGTAAAGCAATCCAATTTTGCTGGTGATTTGAATCTCAGGCGATTCCCTTGATTTCAGAGCGACTGGTTTGCAATTTACGGCATTATTGCCACATCATACTTCCAGCTCTTCTTCTACAACTCTCTCGGCTCGGTCATTGAGACAAAGGTGAGCGGAGGAACACAAGGGAGAGATATTATATCAAGCGTTCAAATATTTATTACATTCTTTTTATTTATTGTAAATTGTTAAGATCGTGACTATGTCTGCTCAAGACACGTGTCGTCGCGAAATATCAGTCTTTTACGAAACTACACGGCCGCTGAGGCTCTTTTCCGCTGTATTTTGAAAGTTTTTGAGTTATTTTGCTTTTGCAAGAACGTAAAGGCATTGCAAAAAGCCAAGAAAGTGTCTGAAATGTTAAGAATTCACTAAGAAATGCTGTACAGCTTGTAGTCGCATTATCTCCCCATTGGAATAACTCTCCTCTGCAAGTTCACTTTATCTCGCTTCTCTTGACAGAACCATGAGATTGCTGAGGAGTTCTACAACTGCAAATGGTTCATGATGAGCATCAAGGACAGGAAGATGATTATGCTGATGCTGCAGCGCGCGAGAACAGTGCCAACCTTGTCTGTGGGCCACTTGGCGCCTCTGAATCTCGAGACCGGCATGTCCATCTACAAGACGCTCTACTCGTATTTCCTCCTCCTCAAGGACGCCTTCAATTGATGACGCTGCAACATTATATGTAGTGCAATTTCTCAATTATTCGCCTCGATGATTGCTTGATGTTTCGACGCGAAACAGCACGGAAGTTAATCAACCCTGCGATTGACCATGCTAAAGGGGTGAATAACTGTGACATAGCTCAATAAAAACTGTGTCTCTTGTCAAGTTTTAAGGCTATTTTGATGGAATTTTAGCACTGTTTTTATCTGTGTTGTTTGTATTGTGATTAATTCAATTTCAAATCAATCAGATTCAAATTAGTCAGTTTGCCACTCAAAATTCACTACGAGAAACACTCATTAGCCCCTTGGTCAAGTCGGTCAAGTCTAATTTTATCAAACGGTTGAATTGTGATGGAGTGGTGATGGCATTAAATTTTCAGTAGCATTCCCGCCTAATTCATTTAGCCATATACAATGCAGATTATGTGGTCGGCATTTGTGCTTAGAATACAATTCCAATCAATTTAATTTGTATCGATTGGCCGAATTACCTGGAACAACACCACAAATTCTGCCGGCAGTCCAATTAATACTGCGGGGCGGCGAAGAATGGAGAAGGGCTTCTCGAGTGTTTTGCCAGCAGTGCGAATTATTCACTATTCCTATCGCCTCGTCGGCATGTGTCCGTACAAGCTTCCGCCGGACATCAATTCCGACCGCCTTCCCTTGTCGCCGCTCGGCCTCATCAACACTGTCGCCTTCATTGGGATCTCGTGCACGGCGGCGTACTTGAATGTGCACGTGGACATTTACGAGGATCTCTCATCGTCCAAGATCCTCAACATCATCAGCAGAGGCGTGCTGATGGCAGCTCTGTTCACCACGATTTTCTACACCTTCACCAGCACTCTCATGAGACAATCCAACTGGGCGATGGTGCGACTTCTGCACGGCATTGACAAGAGAGTGAGTTTATCTATTGTGCGGGGATTAAGCTAAGAGGCTCTCAATTGTGCTCAACTTGTCTTTGATGTTGAAAGCTCTCGGCAGTTGGTGTGCAATTCAACTACAAAAGGCAGTTCTTTATGGCCGCCGGCTTCACGCTCGTGTGGATTATCTTTGTGATTCTCCTCATCGGCTACCACTGCTTCTACAGCAGCCTGGGCAGGATGACCATGCTGAAGATGTTCATTCACTTCGTCAGTCACTACTTGGCCGTGTCGGCGTACGCCGTGGTCATGAGCCACTTCTTCTACATGCTCGTTGCCATTTACTCGCGCTTCGCCGCCATCAACATCACCTTCCGGCGACACTTCCTGTTCGGCAGCGCCAAGAAGGCGAGTGATGGCGTCGTGAAGCAGCTGCGAATCGCCCACGATGAGCTGAATGACGTGCTGGACAGAGTCAACTCCTTTCTCTCCATCATTGTAAGTTAGTAGAAGACTGATTAGCAGATTAGAATTTACCTGGAATATTTCGCAGGCAATGACAGGCATCACGCTGTCCATCTTCCTGTGGGTCCTGTCCTGCAGCTCGATGTACAAGAAAAACGTCGACAGCAGCGACAGTCTGCTGATTTCGCCCATCGGCTATGTCTTCTGGAGTTCTTACTTTGCCTTCTTCGTGGTCACAATCATCATCATTGCCAGCAGGGTCACGAGCGAGGGTCGCCGCACGGCTGTTCTCATCCACAAGGGGATGAATTTGCATCCGCAACATCCGGATTTGCACGAGGTGAGCGCTCTCTTGACCCGGAAAACATCAATTTTAATCCCTTTCTCTCTGGCTTTCGCCCTCGCTGAAGCTCAAGATCTTCTCGCTGCAGCTCCAGTGTCGAGAACCTGTTGCCAGCTGTGGCCTCTTCTCCTACGACTACACCCTCCTGTACTCCGTGCTCGGCAGCATTTCCATCTACACCACGATTTTCATCCAGTTCGACACCTTCAACTTCAAGGCGTAAAGCGCAGCAGAACTTTAAGCCGCCTGCAAATACAAATTTGTATTACAATAGACAAATTAGAGATTATATTAGAGAATCTAATAGCTATTTCACTACTTTCTAATACTTCCGCAGAACTGTACACCATGTCTGACCACTATTTGCCCCATGGAGCGGGTAAATAACGTGAGGCAGATGTGTGAAATGATGTCCAAATAAAAGTGTCGCACAAAAAACCATTCATATCATCGTGCAAATGCGCTGAAAGGCAAAAGTGGGGGTGGAAATTCAGTCCAATTACGCGGCCTGATCAATTATCACCATGTCCAGATGATAAATCGAATCATCACGGGTAATTGTGAGTTTTTTCGGCACTTTTTTTGCCTCCAGAATGTCAATCATCGCCGGCCAAACAATTGTGCAGCTTTTGCTAATGAATAACTCTGCATTCCTGAACACAAATGATTTCATTTGCAATCACCCTGTTTGGCAAACAACGCCCAGAGCTTCCAGGGAGAGGGAGCAGAATATGCTCGTATGCTTTGGGGGATGGAGGATGTCGTAACTGCGTAAATGACAACGTATATGTAATTAACACCCCGCGGATTTATATCATATCGCGGCCCCTCCTGTATTGCCGGCTTACTTATTAATCACACATGCAAATAGAGGTGCTTATGTCTGCAACCATCAACATTTTGACGATATTTGAGCAAACAACGCCCCGGAATTGTTGCTGCGGATGTGGGAAAATTTAATTAACTCCTAATAGGGAATATTTCAGCGCCAACTCGCGATTTTCTGGCACGAGCTTTTTGCAACACAAAGTTCCGCACCGGGAAGTTACCGGGTGTGTTTGCTGAAGAGAAGTATGTGAAATTGATGGGTAAATAGGATGGGGGATTTGCCAAAATATTCACACTAATAAATTCAAACACAAATTAGTGACGGCGAATTTATCACGCATTTTGAGGTGCAGAATTGTTTTGGCGCATCTTTGGCCTTATTTATCGCCAACATTTTCCCAGCATCACGAGCGGAATTAGCGTAACACCCCAGACTAAAAGCTATCGAATATATCACTTGCGCAATTCTGCAGTGAATTTTCTGTCTGTCCAATGTTTTGGCGAATTTCTCAACACTCGATAAGCATCCTAAATGAGTCGCGCGCAGTTCTTTCACCGCCAGCGAAAGGAGTGTGCGCTTGTCGAACTCTTAATTAACATGACAAAAGAGCGTGATTTGAGGCTATAAGTGGCTCATGTGAGGGACTCGAGAGTGGCTGGCAAAATGGTCCGAAACAATTCAACAAATGTATCTCAAGAAGCGCCACCGTGAATGGCAAACGCGAGGGAAATTGAAAGTGAATTGGCTCTGTGGCGAAGAAGTCACTTTCTAATATAATTGCACATTTAATGGCAAAGAAGCATGGAAAAATGGCCGAAAAATGGGTGTTGAACCCACTCGAAAATATGGCCAAAAAACGCGTCAAGTGTGGCACTCTAATGAAGCGCAACGGAGGCTTTTGTTGATCTGGATCGCGAGCGCGCGACTTCTTGACCATCACTTTGGGCTGTTGCGCGATGATCGCAAGATGATTTCAGCATGTCATATGATATACGATTGTTGGGCCATTGTTGCAAAACAACCAATTCACGATCCACCAAGTGTTGTGCACCATTTCAATGTGACGGTAATGGCTCAGAAATGACGTGTAAAGCACTTCTGTCGTGTACTTCCATCGCGATTCTGCACCATAAATCCACCAGCATTTCGAAATGCGCCGCCAAGGAAGAAACAGAGTGTCATCCGAGGTGTGAGCAGAAGTCGCGCATTCCACATTTTCATTCATTCTCTTAGGGGAAATTATTAAATTTCGAGCGGCTCTTAATTTGGGGTTAAATTGAATCTAATTTTCCTCATTTTATGGGAATATCTTTTCTGATAATCTCCCAATTATGCTCTCTTATAGCCAATTATGTAATTACAGATGCTTTTGGGAAATTCATAAAAAAAAATTGGCTTTATTTCCTCTACAGTCATGGTAAATGGATTTACTTTCAAACGACAAAGAGAATGTCTTCAATTGTGGCCGCCTTGGCTGACAGCTCTCGTGATCAGCAGCTCTTGCAATGTTTGATGGCACTGTTGGTGCTCTGAAAGGGAACGTCGATGGGAAACGCGAGAGTTTGAGAAGCGAAGACAATTGCGTATGTGACTTATAATTGCCATGAATTATTTCCCATTACATCCGCCCACTTTTTCATCCGAATCACCAGCATTTATACCACTTTGCACGGCATTGCATAAAGAGCTCACGTGCCAGGCGCATAATCAGAGACAAATTTCGTGTTTGTCGCTTATACAAGCAAAACATCTCCAGATCTGTTGTGCTTGTGCCGAGAATACCAAATGGCTCGAGATCTTGGCGGTGATGAGAATTGACAGTCGTCGGACGGCATCTTCCGGACGACGATGCGAAGTGTGGGTGAAAATAGAAAGGGTCGAATTTTACTTTCGTCCGAAAATGCCATTTGCAAACACTGCTGTCGGTTTTTTCCCCAGCGGAGCATGTATAACATAATAAATAAATCATTGCAGACAGTTGGTAGATTATAAATTACCTCCGCCAGGTCTCTTTTTCGCTGAAACATTTGTAGCGTCACTAACGACCGCCTGCATTTCATTTAATTAAATATTGCAATCGCGAATCGGCAGGAACATCGCGAAAGCACCCCCAAAAGCTCCGCTGGGCGGAAAAGCTCCAGCCGTGTGGCAATAATATTTTATTTTATTGTCACACGACAGTTGGTTTTTTTGTGCGTACTTGCGCTGAACACTCTTCAGCACACGATGGCTTCATTGGCTTGTTTATGTACTTTCTCCACACGCCACAATCAGCAGAATAAAATGTTTGCGGTCGTTTATCTCACACACAGCAGCATCGCAACTGATACATTCCAATTTTGACCAAGTTCCGGCAATAATGTGGGCGGATTTGTGGCATTTTCATTCATTATTTCCCCAGAGAGGCATTTGCTGGCAATATGAGTCAGTCTGGAGAGGAGATTCTCTGGCGGAGAAACAATGCTGAGCTGCCCATAAAAACTGCATATCATCAGCCCATAAGATTTGATGCAACAGCCGCAGAACAATGAGTTCCTGAATCATTTCATCACCTGCAATTTGTCACACACCTCTCCTTGCTCTGAATCTCCCCGGGAATATTTGCAATCCCACTTTGCAAATGCCTCTTTGCGAAACCCGAAGAGACTGGCGATGGAGATGGAGAGGAAAATCGTGGCGCGGATCAGAGCAAAGTGTGAATAAACTGCTAAGTAAAATCGTAAAGACAGAATGTGCAATTAAAGATTTTAGTGGCATAAATTAAAAAGCAAAAAATCACGTGGATTTTATTGTGGGAATTTTCTTCGGATGGCCAATTAAAGCGGTGTGTGAGTGTCAAATACCGGGAAAATTTAGCATTTCCAGCGCATGATGAAGAGTTTGTTGTACAATCACCTCTCAAAGAGGAGCATTGTAATAAAATATAAGATGCAAATGCAATTGAATTATTGAGACTTTTTCCGTCTCTCGTCGATCACAATGATTCATTAAGAGCTTTTTGCAGTTTAATCACGATTCTCGGAAGAGGCAATTTTCCACTCATTAGTTGAATGATTGGGAGAGTGGAAAAAAGGACATTATCAAGCTTAAACGACTCTTGAGAACCTGATAAAATGTCTCCTGAGGTCACGAAGTTTTGATGTGTTTTGCGCAAGTTGTGTGTGATCAAATCGATGCTTGGCATCCGCAAAATTTGAAATTTGAAATCCGATCGGATCACGCGTCATTTTTGCCCTGACCCAAAACGACAAGATCTGCAGCGCGATCGGGAGCAGTTTGACAACGCATAGATTGGCCCACGGGCGGATCGTGAGCATAAATCACACGTGATCGGCGATCGCGCGGCGTGGGTGATGGCCCGAGCGACAGGTTGGCTCGTGAGTGGCCAAGGTGATCCATGACGTTGAGTCATTGATGATGGCGGAATTGGCCCCACTTTCCAGCATTTCTCCTGGCGGAGCTCCGCTTTGGGGCCCCCCAGAGACGCCTCCGTCTCGCTCTGCGCCGCGGCCGCGCGGCCACGCGAGCGAGAGAGACATGGCCATGTGGAAGGGATCCCGCGTAAATCTCCGATCAAGTATAATAGCGTGGCATGCGACCATCTGAGTGGCATTTCTTCGTCCAAAGTGGAACGAGAAAAGGTGTATTCTCCAGCGCGAGCGTGTCCCCCCGTGTTTTCTGAACTTCCGTACGCGCTGTGTGAAATGTTTGAATGAACAAGCGGACAAGAAGTGTGTGTGTCTTTTTTTCGCAACATCGCCCGTATAATTGCAAATTGTGCGGAATAATTTGATTATCGCGCTGAGGAGCACAAAAACGCCCCATTTTGGATTATTACACCTGAAGAGCCACTCGCGCAGTCTCTGGATTACTTGAGCAGCGACTTCAGCAAAAAATGGTACAATTCTATCCACATTGTCATTAGTCTTTTCGGAAGTTTACCCCTAATTAATTACCGCACAGTTCTGCAAGATGTGATTCCCATCTCATTTCGATCTCTTGAAAAGTATAACTTCAAGTGAGCTTCTTATCACAATATAAATCCCGAATTCAGTGACTGAAAAAAGAGTGCAATGAAACTGCTTGTGGTGATGAACAAGATCTGCATTTTCCATTTCATTGAAGTGAACGTAATTTCAATTTAATTCCAACGCAAGAGGAGGAGTAATAATGAAAGTAATTGTGTGGTGCATCTTTTATTTCCGTGCCACTCCATGGGAATTTTTTTCATCTCCACACGCGTCAGTTGTTCAAGAGAGAGAGAGAGAGACACGAAGAATAAGAAGCATAAAAAGATGGATTGGGGAGTGAAAAAGAAGCCATCGGGAGCATAAAAAGAGACACAGTGTCTTCAAAATTCCGCTTCCACGTCTGACAAATCATAAAAAAGAGCGCTTTTACAATTCCAATGGACTCTTTTTTATCATAACACCTTCTGTCTTCTTGTCGTAAAAGTCTCTCACCTCAATTGACGAGGTTGTTTTTCCGTTCAGAAAATCAATTAAGAGATTTTTTGACAGTGCAAAAAAGCCACCAGAGGAAGAAAGTTGTTGCTTAAATTGTTGATTAGGCCGATTGCGGCGTTTAAGTGCAATGTGGAGATGAAATCACGGTTTTGCCCGAAATATCTATACAGTCGTGTTGGAAATAATAGCACATTGTTCTTCACTTCATGAAAAACAACACCGCAATTTAAGAACATCCAAGAGAAAGCAATGAACAGAAAATTCAGTTCAATTTCATGTCCAAGAGTTCAACAATTTAATCGTAGGTTTTTTGGGAAAATCTTCTGAACTTGTAACATTTATTTCACCCAAGATTATTACTTCAAACGCCACTGTGCTGTGATAAGACGAATGAGGAATTTGAATGCCACTTTCTCGATGTTTCTCAGTTGATTTTTAAGGGCCCATCCCAGAGTGCATGATTTAGTGCTGCCTCATAATTCATAAATTCAGTAATGCACACATACTTTTGGCCTAACCTTGCCCATCTTCTTCTCTCTCCACTCACACGACTAATAAGCGGAACTTATGCCAACAAAAGAGTGACACTAATGAATTGATCTTGAACTTATTTCGTCCGATTAGAGCTTTCCACACGCCACAAAATCATATCTTTTGAATCACAAATCAGCCTTTCTTTGGGAGATTCTTTCATCGTAATTGATTCTGTTTTTTTCATCATCTCTTCTTCATCTCAACCTTTCGGGACAATCAAGGTGGGGATCAAAGAAGTGTCTGAGCATTGTTGGAAGTCTTGTTTGGGGCGAGATTTGAGAAATTGTATGTGTGTGCTTTCTTTCTGACCATTTCTATTGTAAAAGTCACTTCTTTCATGTTTTATGAATGAAGTGATGTTTCTTTTTGCCTATTCTCATGGCAATTTGCTATGCTGGAAGGCAGCAAAATTGATCAATTCTGCACGATTAAAATTCATACAAAATAGCTCGTGGAGAGTTAATTCGCGTGATTGGATTAGATACATAAATGGCTAGGAATTGTCTCTCAGCATATTGAAATATGATAAATCTTCCCGTCTTATTAGTCACTATCGCGTGTTTTCTCTCTCACGGTTATTGCTAAAACAAATAATTCAATGAGATTCACATAAATTTCCACCACTTCTCGCCGCTCTTGTGGATTTCTGTCTTCCTAATTAAATGGGATTTAATCAATTTATCGCCGCCACGGCATTTTCGGAGGGAATTCATTGCAAAGGCAATCAATCTCGAAATTTATTCAGTGGCATTTGCATGAAAAATTACCTCTAAGACACACTTTCTCACTGTTTAAATTTAAATCATAATTTTGGTGGTTTTTTCCCCCTTCATATCCCATTAAAATTATGTGGTTTGTTTGTCTCAAAATTCCGCACCAGAATTTCACAACTTCTGGCGGGAAAATTCTCATGGCGCGCATGGCGCATTTTCCCAGAATCACCCAACAAAACGAGCGGTGATGCAAAATGAATCACCTCGTTGGCAATATCGCGGAACGGCAGCAGTCTTATCTCCGTGCTAATATCGTGTGATCCGTACTTTATAGCGAGAGTCTCTAAATAATAAACTCTGCCACGTTCAGCATAAATTATTCATATCGCATCTCAACAGTGCAGTCAATGCAGAACCGCGAAGAAGACACATTCTGAGCGGGAATCAATGCTATTTTTGCATAATGAATTCTACAGTTGATTTTGTGTAACTCACTGGAGTAAATAATGTGGGTTTCCCATGTTCCAGTCCGGAGTCAATATTGATTGCCAGGTCTTCACTTTCACCTCCGGGTGCTTTGAAAAGCTTGCCTGTCTTTCTCTGCCCAAAAAGATGATGTCACAAATCTGTGGTTGATTTAAGAAGCTCCATTGCAGCTTTCCACCCATCCACTCTGACCCCATCAAAGTGTAATTGGTTGGTGTGATGTTAATTGTAACGCAGCTTTGATGGGTGAAAGACACGCATGAAATTTCACCCAATTTTCCATGCCAATGTTCAATTTCCCGAAATAATTGCCCCTCGTTTGTACATATTTGCTGCCTGTCAATGACAAAATAATCTGTGACCCAAACCATGGAAATAAATAGTATATTTTGGGTGGTGGGAAATCATTTGCTGGGCGCGAAATAGTTGTAATTTATCGACGTGTGTGTTGTGATAAAGTCATTAGGCGCATAAATTATGATAATATCTTTTGCATAATCTCCGCTCGCACCATTCAAGCCATTGTATAAAATATGTTTTACAAGTCATCGACTTTATTGCAGAATAATCACTGATCTTTTTCTTGCCATGCCTCACTTAGCCGAGGCGTCTTGTCGCCATTGAACTAGACCCTGACTGTGGGCGTCATCTTGGGTGGGGAAAGTCACCAAGCGACAGAAAGAGAGAAGAGAATTCTTCATGGCGCGCGGATCACTATCTTGTCATTATTTACAATTAAAGCCAAATTAATGACACACTCACTTACTTTGTGCTCCTCCAGGCCAAAATTAACAATGAAAGTCTCCACTTTCGATGCTTCTTTCCACTGTACGCCTCATTGAGTAAAAGCTCCGATGGAGCAACAATCATCATTGCGCTGTTTTCTTGGCCATATCGCGCCAAATCGCCGCTTGATTGAGACTTCTTCTTCTGCGCCATAAGATGTGTTGGAGGAATTAAAAAGCATTCGCGCGCAGTGGCAAAAAAAATCCCGCGCGCAAGAGAGAGAGAGCTCAAGAGATGCCCTAAAACTCCTATCTTAAGGTGTCTGACGATGGCCCACTTCGTGGCGAAAAGTGCTCAGCAAACGAGATTCTCACCATGGCTCGAAATCACGACCTGATGTACGCCAGACAATTTAGAGCCCTCTTCCGATTGTGGCCAAGGTGTTCCTCAGAGTTTATGCCGGAACCGCATAGGCTCTAAAGCACACACCGGCCAAAATCTGTCGCTCTCAATTTCAATTTTCATTTAAATGCCTCCGATACAGGCTCTAGAGAAGCCCATTCGAGCGTCCGGTTCGGCGGCAATGGTCAATAAACTGCACCAAATTGCTTTCTCAGCCTCTTCATTTCAACTTAACACTGCGCTCAGCGCCCGAATTCACCATCGATCTCATTTCACAGCCTCGCCAGCGTGCTTCTAACGAGAATTTATCGGCGACACTTCCTCGCACGGTCGCTCGCAACTGAGCCATTGGCCTTAAATCAGAGCCGCGAGCATTCTAGAAAGTCACTTCCCGTCATCGCACCTTTAAAATAGTGCCTGTGTTGATAATGAGGCGTTGAAAGGGGCGATAAAATAAGAAGGAAATTCCCCAAAAACCGGGTTAATTATTTTAAAAAAAAGCATACAAATGCACCTAAAATTCATCGCGATGCAGATTGAATGCGTCAATTAGTAAATATGATAAGTGAGCAAACTTTTCCTTTAACATACACTTTCATTATGACTGAAAGAAGGGAAGTAAAAACAAACACGGCAGAACACAAGAAATACCGTTTAATTTGTGATTTAAAGTTTGCGAACTTGCGGTTTTTAACTTTCTATTTCTCTTAAGAAATTTTTGAATGCAATTTTATGCTCTCAAAAATTACCTCTGATATTATTAATGGGTGAATGGTAAGTGATGCCAGGCTATTAACCTTTCCCTCTCATGATGAATTCACACGCGCTCGCGATGTTCTGGCGAGGAAGTCGTTTTTGGGTGATTTCTTGTTGAATTCTTGTGGTAAAATTGAGGCAGAAATAAGCATTACTTCATTGCTCCAATTTAAACGTACGCACAAAACAATGGAAATTCCTACAGCTTCGCCTTCACGTGCCATCTCAACATACGTGATGTCCATGGTTTTTGGTGGACTTCTTGCTGTGAGAAATTTCCACATGAATAAATTTTGTCCATTTTACACGGCTCTCAATTTACATGAAAACACCTCTTGAGGTGCGCCTCTTGTTTCTTCTCTCCCTTCGGCGTTCTTCTCAATGACCTGACCAAGGGGAAAATGATTTGGTCAGATTCTGTACATCTTTTCTTGACCCTTTCCCATTTTGCAATTCGGACACTTGCGCGGCTTCCAGAACCGTTTTTAGATTATTTGTAGTCATTCTCAAATTTAGTGTCACTGTGTCGACTGTATTGAACTTAAAGAATTATGCTTTGAGATATGCGTAGAAAATTCTCTGAAACTTGCTCTGTAACCATAATATCTCCCCCTTAGACACGGCGTCTCTTTCTGAGCCCTCGAGAGATAAATCTGTGGAAATTTGTCAGAGCGCCGAAAGAGAACTTGTTTCACGCACAGAGAAAAGTTCCCATGAATCCTTCGCCCAGTAAATTCCTCTAATTACCATATTCAAGATGATCTCTCGGATTCTTGGTGAAGATGTCATCTGCAGCATTTTGTGTGGTCTCTGGCGGACGGTGAAAGTTTCTCCCGGCAACTGATGCTGACGCTGGCGCACAAGAGAGAGACATTCTATTGGCGGCTGAACTCAAGATTGCGAGGCCGCGATCATCAAATCCACATTCAATAACTTAATGTATGATAATGGACCTGGTGTTAATTTCGAGGTCATAAATTGCCTGAATTTTCTCTCATTCACTCTCGCGGACGTGCTTGAATTTTGCATCAATGGCAAATGCGCCGCCATTTGATCCACTTTTCCGCCCCAAACCCTCGCGCGATATCGCGGAATTGTATTTCGCGCTATGCATTTCATTGATGGTAAATTGTAATTGAGTCGAAAACAACAACTGTACTTCCTATACATGATGTATAATATTGCTTTTTGCCACCTTTTTCACACACTTTAGCCCAAACGCGCCCAGTAAATCATACCAAACATATGATTGAGTATCCAATTGCATGATGCAGCACACACGGTAATTACGCATCATTTTCCATCAGACAAGAAATCTCTCACTTTTCGCCCGCCACTTTCACTCTGCCAATGCTCAAATATTTAACCTCAAAAAAACTCCCATGGCAGAGGTGCAAAAAAGCGACACACACAGGTGGAAAAACACACTGTGGAAACAATGGAAATTCCTCAGCATCTCCGCAGGCTCTTAGCAATGCAAACACACACTCTAATTGGTCTGTCTCCTCTGCGAGAGGCCTTTTGTCCAATTTCCCGGAGATTGAAGAGTGTGATTTGCGAGACCGCAAAAAGAGAAGACACACGCGCTCTTATGCAAAATGCCTTCGAAATGTGTTGCAGATTTTTGTATGCCGGAGCGTCTCTTGGGTGTGGTCATAAATGCATGCACCTCATCAATTTCTCTCGCGCCTTTTCTCCGCCAAGCACATCGGCACAATTAGCAAGTGTGTATGCAATTTACCTGCTAATCGCCATGCAAATGAGGTGGACAGATCAATCGCACGAGCGCCAAGGAGCCAATGTTATCTCAGCCTATCGATCTTTAGGCTTTAAATGAGCGAAAATCCCCGAATCAAATATAATTACGTTGGAAATTTAATTATTTCCAACGAAACTATCTTACAGCATTTGAACTATTGCCAATTTCTTGCAGATCGGTCTCTCAGTGATCCTGTGGTGTACCTTGCTCGGCGGCCTTGTCGAGGGAGTGGTAAATGACAAGGCTCAACGACGGGACGCCCCGCTTCTGGACTCCTACGCTCCGACGCCCTCTGGTGGAGAATCCCTCGGCCTCCCAGTTCCCGTTTACGGCGTCCCAGACGCTCCCGCTATTAAGTATCCCGCGCCCCCGCCCGACATTCCCCCACCGCCGCCATCCCAGCAGTACGGCGTCCCAATCCTCAAGTACGGCCCGCCCAAGGTGCAGGTGGAGTACGGTCCGCCGATTCCCGCCTTCAAGCCCGTCCACCATCACAAGCCCCACTTCCACACGGCTCCGCAACAGGAGTTCTCCTTCTTCGACCAGCTAAAATCCTCGTTGGGCTTCTCATCCGCCAAGCCCGTGTACGGTCCGCCGCCGCACAAGCCCCACTTCCCCAAATCCTCCTACGGACCGCCATCCTTCAGCCACGGCAGCTCCCACGGTGGATCTCACGGTGGCTCTCACGGTGGCTCTCACGGCAACTCCTACCAGTTCCTCACGCCTCCGGCGCTAGGATTCGGCCCGAAACCCTCTAATTCCTATGGTCCACCATCCCTGGCCAGACCCTCCTTCGGCGGCCACCACCACGGCAGCAGCTCCTTGCCGCCGACTCCCCCGGAAATCCGCTGCGACGGGTGGAAGCCCATCCCCGGTCCCGCCATCCAGCCCGAAACCTCCTATGGTCCCCCAGCCAGCGGGATCCCGCACTCCGCCCCAGCGGAGCCTCATCACGACAATCACGTGCACGAAGAGATCGGCGGCCTTGAGCTGCCGCACGCTGAGCCCTCGGTTCAATTCCACGGCGACTTGAACGGATTTGGACTCGGCGGAGCTGACGTCAACGTGATCAAGAGCAATTCATTTGAGGTAAGCAGACGCCAAGAGGGAGATATTACAGTCAGAATTGATGTGCAACTGAGCAAAGGTTAAAATTTGCCAATTTTTTTTTCTTGACCTTTTCTTGTGGCCTGTTTTAATGAGATGCAAGAAGCTTAGAAAGTGTCTGAAGTGTTGAGAATTCACCCAGTTTGTAGAAAGACAATCTCCCCCTTGGTTGACATCCAACAATCTTAGTTCCCAGGTTCTAGGAAGACTTTTCTTACAGCTTTCCAACAACCACATCGGAGATAGCTACGGACCACCGCCGCCAGTGTCTATCTCGACATCTTACGGACCTCCGGGGCATCACGGAGCACCTCTGGCAATCAATCACGGCTCGTTCGGACACGGATCTCACGGGGGCCACCAGATCTCAACCTCTTACGGGCCCCCTTCGTTCTCCTTCCCCAAGCCCGTGTACAAGGTGCCACCGGTGGGTCTGATGCCGCCCAGTGGCGTTTACGGCGTCCCGCCGGGCGGCACTTACGCCGGTCTGGCCATCCAGCACGGCACTGTGAGTGGGAATCTCAAGCCTTGGCCTGTGCCCGGATCTGCGCCCAAGCGACCCATTCCATTCCGCGCCCCGGTTCCGCAGGGTCTGCTCGAGTCCATTGGACACAATGTGCAGCACTTGGACGCGTTCGGCGTGAAGCAGCACCACGGCGGCGGAGTCTACTTGCCGCCGCCGAGTGAGATTCCTCCACCGCCGCACGGCTTGCACGCGCTGCCTTTGGAGAACTCCCAGAGACCTTTCCTGAGCCAGCACAACATTGGATACTCACACGAGGGTCGCGGTGGCGGTCACGATTGCGGCCACGGACCGCAGGTGTTGCAAGACAGCTACGGACCACCGCCATCGGGAACAGTTCAGCCTACAGCTGAGGAAGCTCACGGACTCGGCTTCGATGTGCACGCCGGAGGAGTGGGCGACGTTCCGGTGGGACATCAACCTCATGCCGTCTATGGCGTGCCAGATTTTGGATCAGGCTTCCACACAGGAGGCGCGGATTCACTGGCGTACGACACAGAAGTCAGGACAGCCTCAATTCCGGCCACACAGTCCAGCGCTGAAGCTGCAGAGGAGGAGAAGACCAAGGCTGAGGTGTCAGGATTGACGGGATTGGACGTGATCTCAGCACAGAAGTCGCAAAGCATAACCATCCCGGTGCAGGGCAGCTTGGGAACGTACCAACTGCAGTTCCAGTCCGCCGATCCACTGTCCGGCGGCGATGGCAACACAATCGACGGCGCTCCGCATCAGCAATTGCTGTCCCAGGGATTGCTGCAGTCCATCCTGTCGGCCATCGAGCAGCCCCATGAGCAAAATCAGCAAGTCACCGAGGACGTGCACAGTGATCACGACGATGTTGCGGTGTTCGTGAAGAGTCCAGAGGGTCAGGAGGCTCTGGCTGAGCCCACGCAATCCACGCACACGCATCCGGAATCGCGATAACTGCGCGCACGCGGCGCATCACCTTCCTAAAGAGACTCTTAGTGTGTGTTAAGTAAATTATTAAGGGGGTATAGAGAGACCACAGAAGAACCGTTCCACACTCTAGTGCTGCCATATTACGTCCTCAGACACCGCATCGTGGGAGGGAAGACAGGGGTTGACCGCGGTTCTGGCAATTTATGGGGTTGCGACACTGCTTCGCTCGCGGGATAATTTCTGGCTGGGAATCACTCTGAAATGACTGCTTTTCATTTTTTTGTGTAGTTAATGGTGAAGAAAAAAGGAAACACATAAAATGTGCCTGATGGTATCATGCACAGTTACAATTAATTTCAATAAAGTATATTTATTTTTTGTAATGTGTAAAAATTATGTTTATTCCGTCACCGGCCGTAAAGAGTTGCGCGGGATCTGTTTCAAAATGGACACGTGCAATTGTTAAACGGGTGGGAAATGAGCGTTTAACGAGCGAGTGTGTCTCTTAAGCGGCGTGTTGTATGAAATACAATCTCCTCAATTTAATATGACAGCGATAAAAAGACTGTGAATGGGAAAGATTGCAGATTGTTGGGCTCTCTTCTGGCCTCCAAACACGCATTTTTCGCGCCCAGACAGTTTCCCAGCGAGACACCAGAGCATTGAAATTCATCGCGAGAGCTTCTGTGCGTGAGAAGAGGGACCATCAGGCGGTAAATTAAGCCGCCAACTCGTCAAGATGGATATCAAAATGCTTTTCGGACGACACTCCCACGGAGGTGTGTTTATACATAATCACATTGTACCTGAGATTTCCCCTAATAATGCCCTCGAATGACCCCGAAACCATGCTTAACATCTCTGTGCGCTGGCCAAGAGATGCACAGCATCTTTCTCTCTTGTCCGCTGACACGCTGACCTGAAAACCTGATAATGACATCAGCCGAAAGAAAGTTGTCCGAAATTCTTTCCTCTCGTGCATTTTTATTTGCCTCCACCTTTTTGCCTCAGCATCGCAATTCTGGGCTTGGAAAGTCACTCTGGCGCGCTTTTATGTTGTCCACACGTGAGAAGATGCTGAGGTGTGTTGCTCATCTTTTCATGTGATGAATACAACCCGTTTCCTTTTCCTCTTGTTCGCTGGCTGCTGCTCGCAGAGCCAATATTGGACATGGCGAAGAAGGTTAAGGTGAGCAGCGCGACTTCTGCAGAAGATCTGCGCGCGCACTGAGAGGAAAAACTGGCGAAAGCGCACAACGAGTGCTTTAGTTGGGCAGAGTTGAGGTATCTAGTTTAATGAAATTGTAAATTGATCGTAAATTGAATTCTCTCTCTGATTTCCTTATACATAAAACTCCCAGTTGCAACCCTCCCAGGCATTTCCCCCGCTTAAGAAAGTCATGCGTCTTAAATGTGCTGAGGAAACTTCTCCGAAGAACACTGCCAAAATGCAATCTAACAGTCTCTAAATTTCTAAAAGTGAAATGATATTTTATACAAAAATTAATTCACTTCGCTTCAGGTTAGAGAATCTGCATAACGTGTGAGAAATGTTTTGTCCTCCATCCGCAATCCGGATAAAAAGCCGCGATAATGAGATGCTGTAATTGAGCCATTTTCCTCACCAACATGGCAAAGTGATTACAAGGCAATTCTTATAAATCATATGTTCGTCAATGCTTGAGATAAATCCTGGAAAGAGGCAAAAACGAAATCACACCATTAATTATTATTTCATGGGAGCAGCGGCGAGTGTGTAATTGGCTATGGGCTAATAATCCGGAGCGAATATGAGGTGCAAAGCCAGTATTAAAATGCTATTTGCACGACAATTAGCCATGTAGTGCCACAATTTTGTGAAAATGGTGTTTTAATGCGAGCTCATATTTGCCTTTTTCCCTTAGAAGAGTGTATAATCAGACTGTGTATTGAATGCACTGTCTGCAGATCACTCGGAAATGTGTATGACTTGGACAATCACGACTCTCAAGGGGCAGATATTGTGGCCAGAAGTGGTGTACAACTCTGCGCTCCTCTAGGTTATGTGCACATCTCGAACTATTATCGAGAGCTGGAAGTAAATTTTTTAGGCATATCATTAGACAAACTCCTTCAAACTTGTGAGAATTTCGCCCACATTATCTTCCCCTTGATGGACAATCACGATTCTCTGTCAAGAAGCGTTCTCAATGGCGAGACATCGAGCACATGTTTTACTTTCACTCTGCATTGTCGAAGGAAGAAGAGGGTCAGAAGAGTGCCAGAAGAGTGTCTCGGAAAAGGTCAAAAGTTCAGTGAGATTCTCACGATGCATTTTGCATGACTTGTGCCAACTTCGCTCCCGACAATCGTCAGGATTCCGTGAGTCACACACTTTCGGTCCAGCCGGATTCTGTGGCAGTGGCCAAATGGGGGCCACTTGTTATCTAATCGCTATGGATGTAATTCCACAACGTCCTACACATGAATGTGTGGTGAAGACAATTATTTGTTATATGAACATCCGGTGTCACATTCCGTGAGGCTGCCCATGACGATGACCAGAAAAACATCGCGCGCTGAAATAAATATTTACATAAATAATTGTGACTTCTCGAGACTTTCCGTGAAGAAATTCAGGTGAAAACTTTCACTTGGCGTTCACTCCGACAATCTTTCGAGATATGGAAGAGTCTTTTCAGGTGGAGATGAAAGGCAAGGGAAAAAAGAGAGAATGGTTGGGAGAGCGCGAGTCTGTTGGGGTCAAGGCCCTGACAATGACACACATCTCGAGCCCGCCAGACAAGTTCAACAACTTCAGCGCGATCTCGCGACAGAAGCACACCTCGCCATTCAATTTCTAATTTCATCATCTCCCTCTCTGAAGGAGTCCCCGCTTCCTTCCTCCTGAAGGAAGCTCAGGAGCTGCAGCACAAAAAGCCCCAAGTTCGGGGGCGGCGGCAGGAGTGCCTCGTGGACCATTTAATTAGTTTAAACTCCCACCGAGACGCCTCCGCACGTCCAACTTCACAAATTGCCAGGATACCATCGACGCTTCGGCCAATTTTGCCCTCGTAACTCAATTCGCTGGCTTCCTGTGCGGATTCAAGGGAAGATTCATGCATGACTTCCGACGTGTGACAGCATTTTCTGGGCGCAAAAAGTGCGTCTTTCTCTCTCTCACACGCAGAAATGCCTGTGATGATTGTGTGTATGTTGTTGAGCTTACAATTTGCAGGAGCTTCTTTGACGGGTTTCACTTTGTACGGCAATTATGCAGTGGAAAAGAGAGAAAATTGAGGAACTCTCTGCAAGAAATGCTCAATAAAAAGAACAGAGTTGAGAGGAAGTTAGATATCATAAAACAATCAATTCTTCTGTAGATTTTGGAGTCATTTCAACTTTTTGACTGTTAATTGGCAACAATTGAGCTTTTGAGCTCTAAGAATTATTTACAAAAAGCTTTGGATGTCTAAAGTATACAAAGTAATCGGGAAGTTAATGGAAAGAGAGTGAAATGAATTTTTAAGACTCTTAATCTCTATCTTTATCTGCTTGTTCACTCAATTGTTCTTTTTTCACCCGTGCCCGCAATGGAGTGAAACGTGCCAAGAAACTAAGAACAAAACATCACTAATAGACACATAAAATGTGGTCAATTCATTGGAGTTTGTGCAATTTGCGCGCAGAAAACGTCCATTGGCAATATATACAAAGAGGAAACTCAATTTGCGCCGCATACGGTACATCATCTCTGCAAGAGGAGTAATTTAATTAAACACCACTCCAATTAGCATAATCTAGCTGGAGAGCTTTTCGACGGACAAAAATGTTTGCGATGTTAGAAGCAATATTTCCCTGTTATGTGCGCAACATATCAAAGAATTTATTCATGAAGAGTTCACACACATGATGAGTTGTGTGCATTTTCCTTGCGAAAGGGGGAAATTGTGCGAGATTGTCATCTGAGGCAGAAATTGGATTCGGGATGGAAACTCTGTGACGGAGTGTAATTTTGAATGTCATGATACTAAATGCAGCTCACTTGTTTTTGTCATGCGACACCCAAAGCCAAATTCCGCACAATCTGTCTTTCACGTGACTCGAACAGCGATAATGGATCAGTTTGGGGTGGGATTTTCATGCTGAAACCACGGCAGATTTATATCCCACAATCACAGTCTCGAGACTCAATTAATTTGTCACATAAAAGGAAATGAGAAAATACTGCGTGCGTTCTGAAGAGACTTTTACCACCATCAAGAGACGTCTGGGGAAAAATGCCACCATTGCAGAGGCAATTATTGAAAATTAATTGGAAAATTCAGGTGAAGAACCACAAACGCTCTTGACAACGCTCAATGATGGCTTTCGTCGGGGAGGGAAAATTAGCAGTCTCATCATCCTGACTTGCGATGATGGGGCTTTTCTTGACAAGCCACATATTGCGGCAAATACATTGTATGTGGCTGGCAAAAAAAAACTCACAGTCGAGGAAAATTACATGTGTGGTGAAATTGAAGACACTCTGAGCGCCATTCCGGAGACCGCACAGACTCTTAATGATGATGGTTTAGATGGAAAGAAATCCCACATGATCGCATTGTAAAGTAAATCCATCATTATCATCTCTTTGCAATTGAGCAATAGAAGAAAGCTGGCGAGCACAAAGAGATGCGATGACAGAGTGGTAAAAAGCAACACAGAGACATGGGCTTATTAAAGGAAATGATCGACAGGTGATCGATAGGAAAAACTTGTGTGGTCGAAGCGAAATAAAGTGAGATGTCGCGATTCTCTCAATAAAACCTGTTGCTCAATGTGAGCTTTTAGCAGAGAAAGAGCGAGCTTTGATTTCTTCAGCTAAAGCATCAATTTCAAAGCAATTTGAAAGAGCACATTTAGAAGAGGTTATTTAGTTCTCAAATCAGTTGTTAATCATAAAACGCAGCACAAACTGAGCTTAAATTACACTGATTTTACTTATTTTCCACTTCAAATTTCTATGCTAAAGATGTCATTCATAGAGAAAGATACATTTTATCCATGTAATATATTATGTACGGGTTAAAATATTAATAATCCGGCCAACACACTGTGTTCAGAATTGTCACAATTTTTAACCCCTTGTCAATGGAAGAAGTTTCTTGGCAGCTTTCAGTGACATTTCTTGACTGACAGAATTTTTCCTCAATAATATATTCCTTGTGGCTCAAAGTCATTCAAAGGCAGCCAAAGAGACAATATAGAGATCTCAAGCTTGGCAGGCTTTATGTCTTTCCGCCATCGTACTGGATATCGAAGGAAATCATATAG